TATGCCGTGACTGAGGCGGAACTTAAGAAAAAAGTAGAGACTTACTGGCTTGTTAATAATAGAGTTCATGACGTAATCGCGATCAAGCTAAATTATACTCCGGACGGTACGACTCCAACAGAGATGACGGTAAGCTATGGTAAGAGGATTCAATTTCTGCCCAGTTCCCTTAGATAATGTTTATTCTTTAATAGGCTTGGCACTATTGTGTTAATAATACAACGGCAGTTGGTGCATTCGCACCGACAATGGTATGTTATACTATCACGCACTTTTTCAGCACAGAAATGAATGATTTTAATGTTTTCTCTATTCAGCATGAGTTTGGGACGGTTGACCGTCAGGGTAATTCACTTAACATTGTACGGGGGAAACGTGTTATCAACATTTTTCTTGAATGCATATACCACGGAATGCCCAAGAACTTTGTGATCCCCTCACCTCCCCTACCTAACCCTATTTCCATCGATCTCTTTAAGGTTCGGTCTAATATTTTAAGTCTCTAAAACTGGTAAGTCATATCCTATTTATGCATCTTATATTAGTCGAGTCCTATTTCGATACACGCTGACCTTTTTTTAACTGTCATTAGTTCTTGGCTTACATATCTCATGCAAATGTCTTTATATTTGACTCTGTGTCCTAATGCTGAATATAATTGGAAAAATTACTGAATAAAAATTCTCACATGCGGAAGCCAATGACGGAGAAGGAAATCGTAATTATTTTTTTTCTTGGCAAAAGTGATCGGCGTGAAGCGCATGTGATTTTTATTTGAAATTAAAGGCATAAATCAATAAAAATATTTCAAAGACGTATACAATATTCTTCCGAACAATTTTGACAAAATTATATAGATTGATATTAACATGCAATCTAAAGATGATGAGTTTTCAACTCAAGTCTCTGACTCCTCATTGAGAGAATTGAATTTCAGGCTCGTAACCAAGATTGATAGACTTAGAAGAGAGAAGGATTCACTTATAAGTAAAAAATACTGAGCTCTTGGCTAGAATTGTAGAATTAGAACAATCTATAAAAGAAGATGCTGAAAATAAAAAGTTAGGAGACGCTGAACTTAATACCAGAATATTCGAATTAGAACGATCAGCAAAAGAAAACGAAGAGCTTAGAAACAGAGTAGTGAAATTGGAACAGAACCAAAGCATCGATACTAATGCCAAATCGTTAGATGATGAAATAAATTCTAACGATACTTCTGAACAGATAATCTCATGTAATGAGGAGTCTAACACATCTAATTATGACATATACCAGGATTCGGTAACCTCCACATCTCCCGCAGAAACCATGTCATTTGCTTCGCAAAGCGACTTATGTCGTCTGGAAGAGAAGATAGAAAATGAATTTCTGCATTTAAAGCATAGAGAAGCGGTTAGAAAAGAGATAATTCAGAACATTAAGGAGAAGAAGCTTCGGGATCAAGAGTTACTCTCAACTCCTGAGAATACTATCCCTAACATTTCTATATCACTGAATAAGAATGTTTCTATACCCGAAGCAGAGAAATCATTACTTAATAAAGATCTAAATATTCAAGATACAAAACTTTCTTCTTCTGAATCTAAATCATTTATTATCTCTTCATCCAATCAGAAACAAAAGTGCTATTTCTTCCGAAACAAAAATTCCCTATAATCAAAAGGTTGAAAAAGGTTTAATATGTGAGTTATCTACATTTATTAACGAGAAAAGCCTTTCGAATCCCATACCTGATAGACAAATTCTTGAAAATATGCTAGATGGAGATGGTTTAACTCCAGGTTCTGCATTGCATTTGGCCCATTTATTCGACAAGGCCAAAAAAACTGGCCAGAAAGAAATTTTACGTTGGTATTGTTATAGTGAAGAATTCGAAAAAAAGGTAAGAGACACTAGCTTTAAAAACGAACTTAACGATCAAATTGCGAGAACACAGATCTATAATGAAATGGAACCATTTCTTCCAGGAATTAAGATAGAGCATTTGCGTAAGAAAACTCAAAAGGCTAGAAATATTTATACATTATTCAAAGAAATAGGAATAGATAAAATCAAGCAAGTTACACATAGTGCTGATGCTATTTCCAGTTTAACAGGTGTTCAAATCCAAAACATAATAAAGCTTGTCTCTGAAAAACCTGATGTAGGATTGGTCAACGAGCAAACTGGATGTCAAAAAGTAATCGGCGTGAAGAATCTTCACGCGCGCGTGACCGAACCTTCTAAATCAACTACTAAATTATCTCGTACGTCTAATTCGGAAGATATAATAAGTGAGGATGACAAATCTTTATCTAATACCTCGGTAAGTATCTCAAATACTGAAGTCTCACCTAATAATACGACTCATATCTTTAATTCCGCTAATGTTGATGAGATAGGTGAGGTAAACGCACCCGATAGTTCTTTATATTTTAATCCGGATCCTTTTGATGATGAAAATTCTTGTGATAGGGACACTGACCCACAGAGTGAGGATGGAGATTTCTCTGATAACGATAAAGAGGAATATGATGATGAGTTCTGTGGATTTTCTGACGATGATGAAGGATATTATTATGATTTAAATACCGGTGAAACTTATACAAAATCGGACCGTTCAATCTGTGCATATATTAATGTAATCTGATTTTCAATATCAAAATTTTCGCTCGGTCTGAAATATGACGAAAATCATACTTCTTTAGGATGTTATACCAGCTGATGATATACTAATCCACAGTTTAGTCGCGGTTGAGTTGCAGTAATTTTTTTCCTATATATCCACTATGTGAATGCAAAGCAATTCTATGAAAAACAGGTATATCGCAGTTGAGTCGCAGTTGAGACGCGTTAAAATCTTAGTGACTGTGCTTATTAATCGACCAAAGAAAAAAATAAAAATGTCGGGTATCATAATATTCCCTGTAGTAATAGGGTGGATTTTGGAATAGTATCGCAAGTACAATCAATGAACTGCCTATTATAAATGCAAGGGTAAGATTCAAAGGATCATAATGTAAGTACTTGTATTTCTTGCACAGAGTCAGGTTCGCCATTTTATTATTGCATTCCTAATAACACTCTGATGATGAAATTTTGTTAGTTGTTGCATATGGGGAATAGAGTTGGATGGAGAAGCAGAGCTATTGAGCGATATTTTAAAGAATTTCGTACTCGCTTCTGGGAGAGGTTGGGTAAGTTCATTTCGCACGTTATGAAGCGTTAATAGAAATACATAACCCTATAAAAAATGCTAGAACACAAGTACTCAACTAAGAAAGACGTCGTAACCATACCCCCACTTCCATCTCACGAGGAATTTTCATCTCCAAAAATCTTTAGCCGATCAAAGGGAAAGATCCCCGCCTCGCAGGACCCTCATGAGATATAAATATTAATCAGGGCAATGATACAGATATGCTAACTCACACTGAAGATAACATGATTAATGCAGATAATACAAATAATGAAAATAATGCAGATAATATGGGTAGTAATGTTGGCATTAACATAGATAATGTCAATTAGACTATAATTACGTTTGCCCACATTTTGAGCTTTGTATTTTAGCATGTACAGTACATGTACACGTATATTCATCGGAAAAAATATTATTTATTGTCACATTATAAGAATCAGAAAAATATGTGCAAATTTCACTCAGTTCACTCACACAATAGAACAATTTGTTTATACATATTTGAGTAAATTCAGAATGATTATTTTTATCAGCAAATAATTTTCCAAACCCTAAGGTCTAGAAATTATGTCAAGAATAATATTAAATTCGAGTGTAAAACTGCAATTCAGTACCAGATTAAGATTCCAGTCCGCTACATAATAGTCCTTATTATTGTTTGCGTCCCAGTGAATGATATATGGGTCTCTATATGGTCTCGTATTTTGGTTGTTGGTTGCGGGAGTCGTGACTGTCCCAGGATTTGGGTTCGGGCGAAAAGGATTATCTGATACGGGTAGGGTGATTCCAACATATTCAATTCCATTCCAGTATTGCTGAATTAAAGCGACTTTTTCTAATGCGTTACTACGATCTGGATCATTATTATAGAATACCTGCGGGAATTAAGATGTGATAAACCAACCATTACATACTTTTTTCAAGCAGAAATTAATAAAAATACCTTGATCCATAGATGCGAAGGTGGGCACGAATTCATAAGAGGCTTGGACCGTTCTGCATATGTTGGCCATTGAAACCACACGCCAACATCAGGCCGAAGCTCATTGCCTCCAACAACACAGATTGCGTTGTTACTTACGAACCAATTCCGATTATGAGTCCTTAACGAAAATGCGAGATCAAGGTGGACTTGTTCCTTATTCCCCCATCAAACTGATATAAAAGTTAGTAAGAATGATAAATATCATATGCAGGTAAGTTGGGATGAACTTACTTTGATGAAAAGACGATCACTATTAATTATTTCAGCACTATAATATATGTGTATCGCTTCGTGCACACTAAGTTTCTCAAGTTCACCATCCGGAAAGCAAACCTCGACGACCTGTTGTTCCTGTTTTCCCCTCACCGCTTCCTCTATTCGTGCGAGAATCTGTTACGGTTATTAGACATTATCTCACATTTCATTTTTTTATATATCGCATAAATACCTTACGAATGGCCGAGGGTTTGGTCTGTTGGGTTTTTCATATAACATATCAACATACATGTATCACTGAAAACAAAGTGTTCGACCAAAACAAAAGCGAAAATAATACCTGCTCGAACATTTCGGAACCAATCACTCCTTCAACACTCATTTAAAGTTTTAAGTTGAGCTATTACTGAAAAAGAAGAGAATGAGTCGTGGAAAAACGATAAATTTTTTTTACTATCAGCTATTGTCTCAAGATAACGTCATATATTACGTATCTCACACACGTTATATTATCTGTTATATGTAGAGCTTGGATCCGGATGTGTAATTGGATATCCTTATAAGTATTGTTTTTAATCCGGATATATAATTATATATACTGTACTTTTTTAAATCCGTTTATAAAATAGTTAAATCTATATATAAAATTTAAATCCGAATATACGGTATAACTAAATTTCAAATCCGAATGTATAACCAAATTTTAAATCCGGATTTTAAGTAAAAAATTAAGATTTATATAAAAATATTATTGGTTTATAATTTTTGAATATAAATTTTGGATAGTTAAATAATATAATTTTTGAATAACAAGTTGTTTAATACTGTATATTATTTTTAATTTAAAAATTTTTATAAGTTTTTTAAAAATCAGATATTTAAAGAAACCTTTTATTCTTTTGGACAAATGAGTCTTATTGAATGAAGAATTATTTATGTCCGTATGTTGTTGCTATGCTAGATACACCATATCCCAATCTTCCACATCTAGGGTTTGTTGCGGAAAATAATGATTTGAAAATGTGATAATAGGTGGCTCTGCTAACATTCCATTCGAACCTAATGCTACGTCTATATATAAATAGTATTCTAAATTACAGACTAACCATTGAACTTTAAAATGCACATGGGTTTGCAGGGTGAGAGTTGGTTTATATAGCTGAGATGCATTCTGGAATAAAGTGGTCATGTAAGTTAGTTGTTCCGCGGGCGTAGGGTGTAATTGCCGAAGTGAAGAGGAAATTACCTTTGTTGACAATTGTATGGATATCTGACTTTTTTAATTTTATAGTTGGATAAGAAATTGGCGCCATTCTGGCGTCACCATTATCCACAGGTTCCTAACTATGTATGGATAATGGAGATGGTGTTAGCGTTACTTGAACCTGATTGACCTTCTCTCCATGGCCTCCCTTCCCAAAGCCTTTTTTGAACGCCCATTAATCCTATTTACATGATAAGTAAGAGGGCCTTTTGACTATACCCATACAATCTACGATACCAACAAAATTGCTTTTCTTTGCAAAAATTAGGATGCATCAATGCATTCTGTATATACATTTTTACCTTGAGAAAAAAATTCAGGATCGCATATATCCATCAAATGTATAGAGCTGTTTGCAAAAGGTCAATACAAGATAGTACTATATGCAAAAAGAATCACACGATCTATTTTCATGTAACTTGAA